TGAATAGATTCAAATGTTGAACCAGTTCTGTACGAAACTGTTGTTTATAGGTACAGAGAAGGCTCGGTTGAACGCGGAGATGGCTACATATCACCTTTTAAGCTTGCTCTCGAGGCCAAACCCTCGGCGTTCTTTGCTCGTCACGTCAAGAGCCTTTAAATTTCAGGCGACTCCAATGAAGAGTTTGCTCTACGCATCCTTGATGCGTGTACAGGTGTGGAAAATCTCACTTGGTACATGGAAGATAACGCCGCAGCTCTGATAACAAAATTACCACTACTTACTATCATTCGTTGGGCACATCTCGGCATTCGAGTGCATCCCTCAGGCTCTCCATTCAGAGTCTATGTTTCCAGATCTCAAGTATCTTAGCCTCACAATCCAGTGGGATTATGGTGATGACCTTCCGAATCTCACTTGGCTTCCTGCTCTGACACATCTGCGTCTTGGGCCCACTCTGTATTGCGAGAAACAAGTCAAGACAGATATGAAGAAGGTTCTGCTTGCTCTGAAGGTGCTCGAAATGCTTGTCATATCCCTTGAGGATTGGACCTTGAATTTCGAGCGAACTCGTGGCATACGGAGAAAATGGATTGAAAGTAGATCCGCGAGTGAGGGTGGAGGGTTATTTTCCTGGTGAAACCAGTGGAGAGGGTTTCTACATGGAAGGGAATTTCATGTTGATTCGGAAGATGAGGACTCGGATTGACTCCCTATGTCCACATCGTTTATCGTGTAGAGCCTGTTTATATGAGACTACTTCCTCCCTATGACTGCTTTCTTACTACGGCGACAGCATGTTAGCCCCTTGTACCATAGCTTTTCCTATGTCATCCGATATTTGGAAGCACGCTCCCGCGAATTGTTACTAAACCGCTTAGGAACGCGTTCATTGGCGCCTTTCACGTGCACCGTGTAAGCGCCCACTACTTCCTTTCTACCACACCAACTTTTCCATGTGGTCTCGTCCAGCGACAGGACTCGAAGCCTCTAGACCAACATCCAGGCGACCAATCACTGGACAAGGTCGACCTTGGACTGCACAGTCTCGACCTTCTACAGCGCGCCCTCAGACATCAACTTCAACACGACATGAAGCAAGTTTTGTTATTGCTGTGCTAGAAGGAAGAGGTGAGACTGCCAGACGGATGAGATGGCTGATATTGACATGGCTATGAATCTCTTTGCTTTAATAGGCGTTGGACGTGAAGTTGGGCTGGCAGCCCTAGACAAGGACACAGGTCGCGTGGTTTTGGTTCAGGTAAGTTAATCGACGTGAATGCTCTGATGACGACGATAACAAGTGTTTTATAGCTCTCAGATTGTCAAACCTACGTCAAGACACTGCACCAAATGCATCTACACAAACCAAGCCTGATTCTAGTGCCAGATACATTTCTTTCTGCATCCGATGCAGCGCTCGTCGCAATCGGAGGCGCTGGTAAAGGAACTGCCAATCCTTCATTGCTCGTGGAATTTATTCGGGAAGAATTTCCGGATACCCCACTGGAACCCATTCCGAGGAAATATTGGAACGAAACATCTGGTATTTGCTTCCTACGCTTTCTTTTCTACAACTGATATAATTGTATCTGTGTAATAGGTCTCGAATTTGTTCAACAGCTTTGCGTCCAAGACGATGAGAGGGCTGGAACTATTCTCGCTGTGTCTAACAAGTGCGTTTTCAATCTATATGTGCCGATGTTTATTCTAATCAATAAACAGATACTACGTACTATCCGCATGCTCTGCGCTGTTCAAGCACGCCGAGATTCGTCAGAATACGCGATTCTCTGCTGGCTCTCTTCGTATACGATATTCCCCAGTTGACGGAACAATGATGATAGATCCAGAAAGTGCAAAGAACCTCGAACTTGTAGGCAACATGTCCCACAGAAAGTCTTATCATTCCATCTTCGGGTATGCTACTCTCGGTTCAACGATAGTACCGTAGGGCTCAATTCTTTGCCAGTATCCTCAATCATACGTATACGGCGATGGCTGCTCGTCTTCTTCGCGTCAACATACTGGCACCCATCACAGGTACGAACTAATTTCACGAACAGATTCACATCGATTAACCATATCCTCAGTACAATCCTCGATTGACGCACGGTTGGACGTCGTGGAGGAGCTCGTTCAAGACGAAGATTTGTTCAATGAAGTCCGGAGCGCTCTCAAAACCTTGAATAATATGGACTTTGATAAACTGATTGCTATGGTAAGATACACTAATGTCTTCTCACCCTCTTACTGACGTTCCATTTGTTAGCTTTCAACTTCAGAAACGAAACTTACGAACAGTGCTCAGGTTGCTTCGACTCGAGTTACCCAAATGTTAAATCTTCGCAACGTCATCCGAAATCTTCCGCGCCTACAAAAGGCTCTCAAGACCACCAAATCTCAACTGCTAAGGATCATATATGAGGTTCTATCGTATATTTCACCTATTGAGCCACTAACAGCTTTTCCTATAGATGTTGTCCGATGAACGCCTCGCAACAATCGATTCACTGATCCGTACAAGTCTTAATGAAGATACGACACCCACGAAAGTCTGTCCTCTCCAACTTTTACATATCTACCTAATCTGACGCTGCAAACTGTTAGCATGGAATTGCAGCTGTCAATGCGCGCGTGTATGCGGTGAAAGTTTGTACAATGCAATTCAATATCCAAGTTATGCATACTCATGCTCTTGTAGGCGAATTATAATCGACTTTTGGACGTCGCTCGGGAAACGTACAAAGAAAACGTCGGAGATATCTACACTCTTTGCAATACTCTTACCGGAGCCCACGAGATTCCGCTCACATTAGTCTACCAAGAGACTGGCTTTGTTTTTTCTCTGAGAAAGACAGACCTTGAAGAGGAGCTTCCAAAGGGATTCATCAACGTTACCCTCAAGAAAGGGAAGTGGCAATTTAGTACCATGGAGCTGGTAGGGGATCTTTGTTTATCCAATAATCCTTCTAGCCACTAATTGAGATTCACAGAAAAAGATGAACGCTCGAATGCGAGACGCGCTGGATGAGACTTTGATCCTCAGTGACAAGTACGTTATTTTGCCTAGTCGAAAGAGCTCTTATCCACATCTTTTTATTCAGAATAATACAGGATTTGGTGGCTGAGATCCTGGTGAACGTCGGTGCCTTGTACAAAGCATCTGAAGCGGTTGGTCCCAACTCTACGACTGTCATTCAAATTAACTCGTCTTTTCCATTAGGTGGCATTGGTGGATATGTTATGGGCCTTTTCCCATTCCGCGATAAGTGCGTTCTTTTCTCATCATCCCCCTGGCCACAAGCTGCAGGTAACTAAATTGATTCATAGTGCGCAATTATGGTTCGTCTCCATGCCTTATTCTGATCCATACCCACATGCATGCATTTCAGTCCGACCTGAATTCTCCGGTGGAACACTGGCTGTCAAGTCTGGCCGTCATCCTATTCTCGAAACCGTACAGTCAGCGGGAACCTTGGTTCCTAATGATGTATACTGCGACGATTCATCTTCGTTTCAGATCATTCAAGGTCCAAAGTACGTATCCTATTGTTGTTTCTGACTCAGACTATGCACATTTAATTCATTTCCATAGTATGTCAGGAAAGAGCACGTATCTCCGTCAGGTTGGGCTTCTTTCGATAATGGCGATGTGCGGTAGCTTCGTTCCTGCAGAGTACGCCAGTTTTCGGTAAGTGGCGTCTCTTGTATCTTATGCAGGCACTGACTGCTTGACGATCCAAAGAATATACGATGCTTTGCTAACCCGACTGTCAAATGATGATGACCTGGAGAAGAGTCTCAGCACCTTTGCGAGCGAGATGGCGACGTCTGCGATGATATTGGGTACTTGGTGTTTCTCATCATCAGCTGCCGGTAGTCCCCTCATGATGATATAACACCCGACAGGTCTCGCTACCGAGAGGTCTTTGGTTCTTGTAGATGAATTGGGGCGTGGTACATCTCCAAGGGAGGGCGTCGGAATCTCTCATGCTATTGCCGAAGGCTTGATCGAACAGAAGGTTAAATCTGTTGTTTTTTTCCTTACATCTTGGATACTGATTTGTCTCCTTTGCTCTCACAGTGTTTTGTGTTCTTCGCTACGTAGGTTCACACGTTTTAGTTGATGGCCCTATATTCACACCCAGCGCCTCTAGGCATTTCGCTGAGCTTAGCACAACACTCTCTCGCCAACCATCTGTTGTCAAGTACGTTACGTTGGCTGCTCAGCACCTTGGCGCAATACCAACTTATTTTCGCAGTCTTCATCTAGCTGTTCAGGTGCGAAATCCCAACTTTCTTGACCAACGCCGGTATATATCAATTGCAATCAGAGAACTTGCCAGTTGGATTCCAACCTTGGAATGCTTTTTCAATACAAGTTCGTCCCAACTGTCTCGACAAATGTGAACCTCTAAATTTGTGCTTCAGAATTGTGGATGGGGCCCCAGAAGATAACACACATTACGGTTCCTTCGTTTCTTCTTCCATAAGACGAAGATTTTAACCAGCTTGATCCCGCAGGTCTTGAGCTAGCTCGACTTGCCGACCTACCTGGCGACGTCCTCATTGAAGCTAACCGTGTCTCTAAGCATTTGACTGAGTTACAGACCCGTCATCAAGAGCAAAGTGATAGTGCAAAGATAGCAATGCGGCGGAAGGCATTACTCAGGGTACACATATTTCGGCTTAGTGAAGATTTGCGTCAAAGGAAACTTATGGGTTTCTACCGTTTCTTGTCTCTAGCTTCGAACAAATCTCACACAAGCTTTTGAACACTCTGCACTACCAGATGAAGAACTTTTGGCATATGTCGGAAGATTCCAGGCTGACATCACAAAAGTGTTCCTTTATTCAACTGAAACATAGTATGATACAGTAGTAGTCCTGGTAAGCATACACATAAATTCTGTTGTACCCAATTCCCTAGTTTAAAACCATATTTTATACACTGAACCATCATACATACGAAAAAAAGAAACGAAGCGGGGTCTGGACGACCACCATGGGACTCGAACCCACAATCTCTAGCTCAATCAGATTAACCGGAAACTAGCGCGTTAACCATTACGCTAGGCGGCCGATATGAGAACACTTTATCGTGTATTCAGAATGAGCTTAATCGAGCTTAATCCCTCAACACGTGGTCGGTATATGACCAAGAGGATGGCGGAAAAAAAATAAATTTTAGACTCATATATAGGGTAGTTTTATGCGCTGAAAACGATGGCATTTGAATTTTTGAAAAATAACCAGTTTTGGTGGAGATATGGCCATTCCTTTTTCCCTGCCAAAACTGAGCGTCTGTTGAGCGCTCCGAACACAAGCGCTCATAAGCGCTGGCGAAAGAATACAAATATGTTCTCACGGGAAGGGTGTTCATTGATCTAAGCGGAGTTAGTGTCCGGATTCAACATTCCGCCATCCTCTTGTATATGACAGTGTCCTACTAAAGCTCGTCGTTGTCCTTGAGCTGACATAAAAGCCAGACGGTATCTCATCACCTCAAGCAAAACAAGCGGTCCTGCAGGCGGTTAGCAGGTCAAGTCTACATCATCTAGCATTCAACGAATGAGTTTAAATCGCTTCTTTTGCGTGACAGAGACCTCGCGGCGAACCTTCCCGGTGGTGAGCTCTATATCTACCAGGATGATGTAATTGAGACGTTCACGACACTGAGAGATCGTAAACGGTTAGTGTCACAGTTCGGCTATAATCCACTACTTTCCTCTTATTTGAGACCAGTTGATTCTCTTCTCAAAATCATCACAAGCAGTGGCTTCTGCGGCCGCGGGTTCGCATATAATGAATGACCTGGGAAGGAGACTGATTCCATGGCGTGCACTCCGATACATAATAGTAACTGAATGTTCCATTGATGACATCGTACATTCACAACCATAGTATACAGTATACGGAGTCGCCGTGATTGTTCGCCCTATTATTTCTTTCTTTTTCCACTCCGAGCTCACCGAATATTCCCTTACAAAGAACGCCTGTGGTGGAAGGTCAGTGGCATTGAGTTGATAAAGTCGATCTGCTCCTTGCGATAATCGTCTGGAATGAGGGTCGTGTTGTCACCGTTGAGTTGGATCACGACCTAGAATGAATATGTTCAGTCGTGTAACCTATATAGGAAGCACATAATGCACCTGATTTTGAGGAGTGTACTGCTCCCAAGTAGGACCTATGTTCAGTAATTGGGGCCATTCAGTACGAGCGCGGCTGGATCATGGATTCCGAGTCGCTTACGGGTAGAGCCCTTTCCATCGTTTGGATCCAAGCTCGTGGCAAATGAAACCCAGTAATCAATCATCGCCGTGCTCAACACGCTGTCAGACTCAGTGGGGTTTTCCACCCCACCATAAACGTAGAGAATTTCTGAGCCATGGGATACTTTGAAACGAATGAGTGAGTGTTACCTTGAACTTTTAATAATACCAGGACTCACCTCCGAGGAAAGGTGGGTTTTCGGGTTGTGGCTGCGTGAAAAGATACGCAAAAGTTTTCACTCCAGCGTTGCTCGCTGTTTGGATCCAAAATCTTCGCTGCGACTGGAAACTTATATCTCCGTCTAAGCCAAAGGATCAACTTCTGAAAATGAGAAATCAAAGTGTCAAATGCTCACCAATCGCAGCAGCTCTGCAATGAGGGAGGGTAGTACGTAGGGACTTTTAGTGGAAGATTATGAAGGAGGATGGGGTTATTCTACCTTTTAAAACCTGGGCTTAGGCCGAAGGTGTCGTTTCCGGTATTGAACGGTGATCCTAAAGCAGGGATATCTGGATATAATTGCAACACCTTTGCAGCTGCACTTTCCAGCTGAGATTCCGAGACTGATGCTACGGCCGGAGGGGAGAAATTCGCCACAATTATGGATTCGATAAGTTCCGTAGTATAATTACCGGTAGGTGGGGTGAAGAGAGTACCTGTTCACGATCCAGCAAGTCACTCATCATATAGAATGGGAAATAAATAAATGGTATCAAACCTTCATCCAGATTCGTCCCAGATATGAATGGTATCTTTGCAAAAATCCCTTTCGCAAACAGCAGTGATGGAAGCTCGGGAATAAATCCGCCCAATCCATCAATAGTTGGACTCCAAGGAAATTCTTCTGGAGTTTCGTTTTGAGCAATAACTAGACCATCCAAAATAGCTGTAGTGTTGACAGATTTCAAGCACTCGAAAGTGTTATCCGTGGAGGAAAGATTTTCGCATCCAGGAACCCCAGCGACAAAATTGTCCCAGTCGACTTGCCGGTGCTGAGCGTCGAAGGTAAGAGCTGTTGCGGCGGAGCCAGATTCGAATATCTGTAAATGTTGGGTATCAGGAATACTCGACTTCATGGATGTATTACTTACAGCTGCTCTAGCAAACTTGGAGAAATCTGGATTAAGGAGCTGAACAGCTGTCATGATTGCACCCGCGCTCTCTCCAAACACTGTGACTTTGCCTGTATGTTTTTTGAACATCGCTGCATCTCTGGAACCAGTTTAAATAACACACATACTTTTATCGCCGCCAAACGCGCCTATATTCTCTTGCACCCATGTCAGTGCAGCGATTTGATCACTTAGAGCCAAGTTCAGAACATTTCTGTTGGCTGCCTCTTGTCCTTGCGGGAAGCCCAGAGGCCCCAGTCGATAGTTGAAGTTGACATAGATGATGGGGGTTCCCTGTATTAATAAAGATTTGCAAAGATAGAAACGCGTCAATGAGAGATGCGAGAAGCGTGAAAGACAATAACATACCCGAACAACACTTTGTAGCACTATCGCGCTGGCATTGAACTGGGCCGATGAACCTTCATCAAATCCCCCGCCATACGTCCTGCATGCAACGAATAAGCGTTAGTTTCGAAAGTCCGGGTAAGATGCTCACCAGAACATGACCGGCAGTGATGCATTGGATGTTACTCCCGATGGCCGAAACACGTTGATGGTTAAACAATCCTCTGAGAGCTCTGAAACAGGAACACCCTAAGTAGCATAAACACAATGAGAATGCGTGTAGAACTTATTGAAATGGTAAATGTTGACCTACCTCCTGCAAACAAGAAAATCCGAAATTGCTAGCGTTGAATTCAGCGGTATCAAGACTTGTTTTTAAGACTGGTCTTTGAAGACGCAGGGCTCCAAGAGGCGGTTCCGCGAAGGGAATACCTATGAACTAGGGTTCATAATTTTGAAAGATGGAATGAGCCGCGGAGATATATCACCTCCAAAGAAATCTTGATTCAAAAGCGTCACATCTCGACCTATCAATGTGGTGTTCCCTAATTGAACTTGTGGAGAGGCGGCATGTACGCCTGTGGCCACAAGAGCCAGAGAGACGAAACAACCCAGAGCCTGAGGAGAGAACATTTTGGTGCACATTTTGGAACCTACGCTCTCTTCAAATACTCTTTCGCCCATCACCTGTTCATTATTTAGAATGACGCTATTTGCGAATCTGGCAGGCATCGAAGGTCAGATGATTGCTACTCATGGAGTCCCGAGGTCGCGTCAATTTCCATCCTCAGGTTAAAGTTCCCAATCCAACCCCTAACATCTGGGTATTGATGAATCCGACCCGAATGCGATGCTCCACAATAACAAAAAAAAGCCACTTTTGCCCTAGGCATGCTGGTTGACCGTCGTTAGTTAATACTTGTGAGCCAAGGCCGAGAATGCTATAAGCTCCCTAAGTATACAGAGGAGCTTGAGCCAGTTGGGTAGAAATTCTTGGTCGAGATTCAACTGCTTCAAGCAATTACTTAGAGCACGGGGGACTCTGGGTAAAATATACGGTGAAGAGACACCGAAAACGATTATAATGACCATCGGGTAAAGTCGAAGAAACGAGGGACGCGGGAGTTGATAAGTTGGATGTTGTAAATATGACATCAAATTTTCTCATTACAGCGACCGTCCGTCAGTGATGGAAAGTAACAGGCATCGAGTTGATGAAATCGATCTGCTCCTTGCGATAATTATCTGGAATGAGGGTCAGGTTGTCGCCGTTGAGCTGTATGAGGACCTGCAAAAGAATACGTTCAGCGATGAGTTCTGTCTTCGGTATGAGCACAACGCACTTGATTTTGAGGAGTGTATTGATCCCATGTAGGACCTGTGGAATCGGGCGCAGGATATTTAGACAGAGATCACTCTAGTCAGGATTTACTTACGGGAAACACCTTTCCCGTCGTTTGGAGTCAAGCTCGTGGCGAATGAGACCCAGTAATCAATGATCGCCGCAACCCAGCACAGTGTCAGATGCAGTTGCATTTTGCACACCTCCATAAACGTAGAGAATTTCTGAACCATGAGCCACTTTGAAACGAATGAGTGAGTTTTACCTTGAATTTTTAATACCAGCACTCACCTCCGAAGAAAGGTGGGTTCTCGGGTTGGGGCTGCGTGAAGAGATACCCATAAGTTTCCACTCCTGCGTTGCTCGCGGTCTGCATCCAGAATCTTCGCTGTGACTGGAAGGTCAAATCCCCAACTAAAACTTAATTTAGTCCTCGAAATGAGTATCTATTGGATGTCAGAATACTCACTAACTGCGGTAATTCTTCCGTAAGGTAGTAAGGTATTGTTAACGAAGAAGGAGAGAAGGAAAAGTGTTTACTCGTACCTTTTATATCCAGGGCTGAGGCCAAAGGTGTCATTTCCAGTATTGAACGGTGAGCCTAAAGCAGGGATATCCGGATATAGTGCCACTAGCTGCGCCACAGCTTTTTTTACTTGGGATTCGGAGACTAACTCTACCGCGGGAGGAGAGAAATTCGCCATAATTACGCTCTCGATAAGTTCCGTAGTATAGTTATAGGAAGGCTGGGTGAAAACGGTTCCTATCCACGGAGTTGCAAATTATTCAACATATAACGAGAACGAAGTAAAGAAAGCCAAACCTTCATCCAAATCATCACCAGCGATGAAAGGGATCTTTGAAAAGATTCCTTTCGCAAATAGCAGCGATGGTAGCTCGGGCATGAACCCACCCATCCCGTCGATAGTCGGACTCCAAGGAAATAGCTCTGTAAATTTGTTTTGCGCACTGACTAGGCCATCGAAGATGGCTGTAGTGTTGACAGA